TTCCTGCTATTTCTTCTTGCTTTATTATTGCAGATTGGTTTTAAATGTTAATTTAGTTCAAGCTGGAGCTTAAGAAGCTGTAAACACAAAGGTTGTTTTCCTAACCGGCTCCAGTCATCAAGGTAATTTTGTAAACATGGAGGAACTGAACTTTTTTAATCATTTGCTGATATTGTCCTGCTCTTAACCCTAGCTATTTATTTAATTTTAACAAGAGTAAAGATTGACCCAAGTGCTGTGCTATGTACAAAATTCCCATTGCTATCAGTACATACAGATACGTGACAAAGTCCTCCCTCCAAATGACACGTATCTCTAAAGCTTTATTCATTTGGCTAGGCTGTAATGGGTGGTCTTCTGGATTCTTTTCATCATTAACTGGAGAAAAACCCTCCTTTCCTTTCAATGTAGTCTTCCATGAATTGATCAGGATCAGAATTCATGGGCTGGTGCAAACCTTGCTTTATCTTCATCCTGCTTAGCCCCAATAGTGGAGTGCATGCGATGTAATGGTGAAGATTATCATGGAGAAGTTTCCAGAACAGAGTCTGGGCTTGAATGCCAGCGCTGGGATGCCCAAGAGCCTCATATGCATGGATTTACCCTGAAACAGTGAGTCACACTCAGTGCTGAATTCTTTCTCACAGTGCCTGGGAGTCCCTGCCTGCAGAGAGCCTAATTGCTACAGCTGTCCATAGCTGACTCACAAACTTCTCCTTCATTTTCAACATGCAGCTTTCCAGAGAAGGATCTGAAGATGAACTACTGCCGTAATCCTGATGGTGAACTTCGGCCCTGGTGTTTCACTACCAGCCCGACTAAACGCTGGGAATATTGCAACATTCCTCGTTGCAGTGAGTCTTAATTTCTAAGATCACTTCGGACGGTAGCTCTTCTCATTAAAATAATGAAGGGAGGGGAAAGACAAGAAATCACAGTTCTGAGTAACCTGAGGAAATCCTTGTGAACCAGGGAAAGTGAACATTAATTAGCAGAATTACTCACTAAATTTCTGTTACATAAAATCACGTAAGGTCAGTGAGGATGCAGGTCTCACAAAGTAAAATAATGTCAAAGATGTTACAGAAAACTTAATTTTTCTTAAACCACCTTAAGTTTCCATTCACCTGAGAGACAGGGCATTCAGACTAAATCAGGTGCTAGTTTTCAGCTGACCTTCTAACTCTTGGAAATCACCTAAATCACCATGTGGCCACACTGAGATACTTTACCTGGGTCTGGCCAGCACAGCTGGAACTGCCTTTTTCTTATCAACACATGAATTCTGAGAAATAAGTTCAGACTTCAGGAGAAAAACCTGACTTATCAGTGAGCTAGCTTAACCCATTAAGCTGAGCACACTAAATCTAGACACTTCCAAAGCGCTGAATAATGAGATTAGCACTGGTGTTTGTGGAACTGGAGTGGACTTCGAGAAATTGTTGTTGCTTTTATCTCTAAAGCTTGTTTTCTTATGCTTCTGCACTTGCCAGTGCTCTAAGTAGCAGCAAGTGTTTTCTAGATGTAGTTCACCTCATCATGCTCAATTACAGATGGAAGAATCACTATATATAGACTTCTGTATCATAAAGTAAACTGTAAAAGTTACCATAGCCTCTCCATTTTGTGCTTAAAGAAAGTTTAAGGAACAGGCCAGCCTTTTACAGTTATACTTGTCTCCTTGTGAAATTCCATATACAAGGTATATATAACAGGTATGCACTGTAGATTCATTTTCTCTCTGCCTTCTGTGGGTTCTGTGTTTCTGATGGTTACTTTTACTTTCTTTGCCGTTCTCCACATGCCCAGACTTTTTCTTCCACTCCTCCTTCCACACCACTTTCCTAATTCACTGACTCCAGAGGCTCAGCTCTGAAGGCTATTTTGCTTTCTCTCACAATTTCTTCTTGGCCCTTTTTGTGTTTCCACCTTCTCCGTGTGTATTATATTAATGTGCTCCCTTCATCCCACTTGTTTTTACAAGACTCTACATGACTACTTACTGCCTTTCCAGCTCTGTTCTCAGGGGACTGCAGGCACAAAGTCTGGCTCAACTCGGCAAAGTTATTTACTGACTGCTGCAAAAGGGCAGACACAGGACATCTGTCTGGCAGTCCAACTGCTTGTGAAAAAGTACACTTCGGTTTTGCCATGGCTTCCAGCAAATGTCACCTCTGCTGAAAGAAAAAAGTGCACTTCCAACATTCTGGAAAACAAAGCTGTTTTAAAGACATTTGAAAACAGGAGTTAGCAGTAGTTTTCTTTTCTTTTCTTTTTTTTAAATCCTATTGCAGCTACACACCCCCCAGTCTCTGGCCTGGGCTCCCAGTGTCTTTCAGGGAAAGGAGAAGGCTATCGAGGCAGGATAGCCATCACTGAATCGGGAAATGCCTGCCAACGCTGGAACACGCAGTTTCCTCACAAACATGGCTGGATTCCTGATAGATATCCCTGCAAGTATGCTGTACCTCATTGTTTTATCAAATACCAAAGAATATAGTTATTCCTTACCGATCCAGGTGCAGACGAGTACAGGTTTTCCACAGTTATGTTGATAAGCTGTTTTCTCACCTTTTGTCTGCTCTCAATACTTCCATTCAGGTCTTGCTCTCCATTTTTTTCAGCATTCCTTTTTTTTTCACTAGCTGCTTTGTTCTCATGCTTTGCCAGGGAAGGTTGGACCTGATGTTCCTTGATGTCCCTTCCAACCTGGTATTCTGTGATTCTGTGATGCTGGGATCACCTGTCTGCTTCACTACAGAGTTATAAGTATTTAGTACTTCTAAGTTAAAAATCCCCTGTCTTTGTTTTGGCACACTTTCAATGTGTTACTCTTCTGAAAAGTGATGCTCCAAGGTCCAAGATGCTCCAATACATCCTCAAGCTCCAGGTCAGAGGAGATGGGTTTGTGGAGCATTATCAATAGACAGGGTAGCTGGGATTGACCAGGCTTTCAGCTCCATATTTTGATCCTGTGAGTTGTGAAATGGGTCCTGCAAGGTTTCCTGGGCATGTGAAAACCCGTCTGTTATCACAGGGCAGAGAGCAGCATGTGCCGGTGCTCATATGCACACACTTTCAGGATCAGTCTGTGACATCCAGCCTTGCCTGGTTCTGACCATTACAGTCAAGTACACCAATGGTTTGTGTTTTGGAGTCAGCTTTTACTGCTGTATCTTTGCTTCAAAAACAAGAGCTTTGGAAAAGTTCTTCATATATCATCAGACTTCAGACTGTAAATTCAAAGGCTGCTGCCCGTAAGTTCCAAAGTAGTCATGCATAAGGTAATTAATCTCCAAAAAGAATAAATGTAACCACTGAGTTGAGTTCTGCATGCAGTAGTTGTTAATAGTCTTGCACACAACTCTTTAGCCATTGAAACACAACTCTTTACTCATAGAAATCCAGAGATTTAAAGATGTCTTTTCTGTTTCAGGGGCTTAGAAGAAAACTACTGCAGAAACCCCAATGGAGAAAAGAGACCTTGGTGCTACACTACCACCAGCAGCGTTCGGTGGGAATATTGTGCAATTCCCCTCTGTGATGAGACAGAACAAGGGATTGTTGGTATGAGTAGTAGAGCGTGTTTGAGATAAGGGCTTTAAAACAGTGAGAAATTTATTGTTTCTCATTGTAAATGTGTTAAATCTTTTTTCAGTCATTTTGTCACTGTTGCTAATGCAGTTTTTCTGATTGGCATGTTACAAAACCTGCCAAATCATGGTTAAGGAAGTGCAGTGAAGGATGTAAGTCACCACTGCCCTAACAAAAGAGTTACAGGATAGAAGAGGTTTATTTTTCTAATGTTCCTTTTTTCACAAAGGTAGGGCATTTTTATCAAGTTAATTGAAAAATTAAAAGCAGGTTTAAATATATGAAAAAGTGTTAAGTAAAAGGAAGTCCCATTTTTGAAAAGTAGCCACAAAGGAGAGGACAGAGGCTTCCAAAGTAATAAAAATATCATCTGAAACAGCCATTCATTAAAGCACAAAAAACTCAAGAAAATCTTAGTGCAAACACAAGGATAATAGAGAGGTTAAAGTCTAACATAATGTCCATTTTAGAAATACACCAGGGGCAAAATCACTAGCATTTAATCTTTGAGAACTTTGCATTTGAACTTTCTGATCTTTAATTCAAGCACGTTCACATACCAAAATGAAACTGAGTGATGAACCCTCCACTGAATGACATCTGACATATGAGGTTAATCTGTGAAATCTTTCTAAATATCTTTGGAAATGCCCTTCCATTTCTCATGCTGGCCATGACGCTCTCACTGGACCTTGTCTGTATAAATAAGTCAGTCATTCTCATCATCCTGTGTGTTTGATGCTTTCTTGTGCATACTCAGTAAGAACATAAAATCATGATGCAAAAGACCAGTTTCTGTTGTTCATTGCAGATGTGACTATGACAGCTGCTGTCCTCATAGAGGAGTGCTACCGAGGCAAAGGCCAGAGTTATCGTGGCACAACTTCCATTACTGCATCAGGAAAAAAATGCCAGGCCTGGAACTCCATGTTCCCACACAGGCATGAAAAAACCCCGGACAGATTCCCAGATGCGTATGTTTATCTCACCTTTTCTTGCTTTATCTTACATTGACTATTGCTGATTGTATTGTCTTTGCACACTCATGCTTTAAAACACTGTAGGGGGATGTACCTATGAAAGAGAATTTGCCAAAGATGCAGAAACACTCTCTGTAAGTCTCATTTTTAAAAGCCACATTTTCTTGTTTAAATTCTGAGTAAAATACAACCATGTACCTTTACTTTTAAATCTGAGCTTCTCTAACCAACACCAGGAGACTTGTATCCAGAGTCTGTGTACCTGCTGAAAAGTTCTGGTTATGAATTTGAGACCTTTGTTGTGGCCTTTCTATCAATTTCATCTGGGGAGAACACAGCATTTATGCTGCAAAACAAAGAGTCAGATATACTACAATTAGAACTACCACTTAAATGTTCTTTGTAGTTGGAATTGGGCACCCAGAATTGCATACACTGAATTTTCCCCCTTAATTTGTCTTCTTCAGACTGGCAAAACTGGACCAGCAATGACTTAGAGAGCTGATCATAATTACTAATATGCCAGCTTTTAATAAGCGTAGGAAAGCAATAAGATGACAATTGCTAGGAAATCCATCATTGTTTGGTGGATTACAAGTATAAACAGGAAGGCTGATTGATAGTTTTCTGTTCTTTTAACTTTTTTATGATGTCACCCTAAATAAAGTTTTTGGAAATTTTCAGTTATATTTTGGCATCAAAAATACTGATGTATTGAAACCGGAACATCCTCAGAGGGGATGTTGTTTTCCACAAACATTTAAAAAAATTGAAATCAAGCTGTGAAAAAGAGGAATTGACATGTTCTAGCGTATTAATAATTAAAAAAAAAAGGATTTGAGGGTTTTTATTCTGTGACTGTTGTGATTGAGGATGAGAAAATACTGTTACTCTGCAGATTATTGAAGAGAGAAATTCTACTTCCCTCTCCCCCAACAAACATTCAGTAGAAGTATTTTGGTTTGATTTGGTTTGCTTTGCTTTGTTTTGTTGTGGTTTGGTTTGGTTTGTTTGGGGGGGTCATTTGCATAAATACTTATTTGCCATTCTTCTGAACATGAAAAAGAACTCTTTGACATTTAAAAATAAACAATTTGGAAAAGCATAATTGCCCACCAATAGTATGGATCTTCCTGTATATTTATTACTAATTCACTCTTTGACACAATTGTGTATGCTTATTCGTATATACTTAGAAATGAAATTATTTGTATACCAGGCATTTAGTTACCTAGTACACTGACATATTGCAGCCAGAATTTAAGTCAGTTGTTGAATTAGGTTTCCTTATGCATAAATATGTTCATGATTGCTGTACATATGAAATATAACTCTCCACTCATATCGCAGCCTTAAATCTGTTTGCTGGTAATGGGATATTTAGCAATAAGTAAAAAACCAATTAACTAATTTTTTTTTACGTAGTGCAGATCCTCATCTTTTTGGCAAGGTATTCCTATGATTACTTTCATTCTTGTACACCATGACTATTGTACTGATTTTTGCAGTGATCTGAGGGACAACTATTGTAGAAACCCAGATGGTGATAACAGCCCATGGTGTTTCACCACCGACCCCAGCGTGACATGGGAGTACTGCAACCTCAAGAGGTGTGATGATCATACACAAGAACACACACCAAATGACCCCCCTGCAACAACGTCACGAAACATTGGCCTGACTACACCCAATGCACCTGGTAACAGTTGGCTATAAGTGTCATCTCCAGTAGAGTCTGTGGGTAAAGTAAATACTACTCTATTAAAACTACTCTTGAGTAGGGCTGCAACGTAACAGTCACATCCCTTTTCCAGTTTTCAGATCTATACTGCTGAATTTTGCAGCAGGTACTCTTTAGTCAGTTCATATCAGTAGCCTGTGTCATTTTACAGTACACTCTGTAGGATATCTATTTCATCTGGGGGAAAAAGAGGAACTTACTTAAACGAAATTTCCAGTGTTTCTGTGTGCTACTGAAATACAATCATAGTGAATGCTGTTATTATAGGCATATTGCTTGTGCTGTGCTTTATGTTTTCAGGAGGTTGACCTTAGCTTGTTGTATTGCTTTGTAAAATGTATGCACCAAAAGAAACAATTTTTTGCTCTGTCCTGCTTTCTTGCTTTCTTAAATAGTCCATGTAGGTCAAAGTGGTGTGACATTTCTTAATGTATAGTAGATCTTTCAATGGACTATTTAATTTGCAAAAGAAGGTGGCAGGGTTGGATAAAAGATATGTTCTTAAACGGAGCTGTATACTCTTACTCATGTGCAGCAGAAGTGCCTGAAGCAATGTCCTTGGAAGCAAAAATTGCTTTTTCAGTCCAGTGGGCTGCTAACTCTGAAATATGCTTCTCTCATGGAAAGTGCTTACTGGTACCAACTTAGCAATGATCTTGGAGTCTTTTTAGATATTTGTAACCTGTTACAAAAAAAGTTTAGCCTGAATTTCCTTAAATGTTCTTCCAATGTACATCCAGGAAAACATCCACCTTGACAAACTAAGGGATCCCATCAGAGGGTACATTTTTGTCTTTCTGCTCTAGACTCTAGAGAGTATGCAAGTCCTAAAGGTACTTACTCTGGCTTGTTTCTGCTTATCACCACCACATACAGATTCAGTAGCTAACAATAATTTCCTTTTCCTCTTTTTTCACAGACTGCATTAACGGTGATGGTAAAGATTATCGTGGGACAGTGGCAAAAACTGCAAGGGGCAGAACTTGTCAAGAGTGGAGTTCTCAGAAACCTCACAGCCACAGACATTTCACTCCCATGACTCATCCAAGAGCAGGCCTGGATAAAAATGTAAACAGCTCCTAATGCCATTGGTATCATTGAACATTATCTCCCTTCTCCATGATGCCTCAGTAATCGCTTCAGGTTCAATATTTATAGACCAAGTGTACCTGGAAGTCATTGAATTGATAGCCCAGACCTATAATAGCATTGGAGAGGGAAGGATGCATTTTTTCATTACTTAGGATGTTGGTACTTCAAGTACAGATGTATGCCATGTGGTTGATGCTGACAGGGAAGCAGCACAAAAGAAATCATGCAGCACTTCCCGGATTTCTGCCAGCCCCAAAGTGATGCCTTTTGTTGTTTGTCACAAACTCAGCAGGCTTCTGGCAAATTCTCAGAGGTGATCTAACTTTCTCTCACTGACTGGAAGAAGGATTAGGCCAACAATAAAAGTTTTAGTGCAAAGCAGTTAGCCATCCTATGTCAAACTTTACTTAAGAGGCTTTAAAAAGCACTAGAGCTAGGTGACTTAAGAAAATGATAGCAATTTAATCATATTTTCCTTATTTCACCTAATGGTTTTGAGATACAGGAAAGAAAGATTTTTACTTTTTTCTTTTTTATTAGAGGAAATAGTAAAAGCATGTAACATCCAGGGGAAAAATAGTTGGGGGAAATAATTCAAAGTTTTCATTTAAAAAACATGCACTTATAGACTTCTTCATTCTGTGGCTAACATTTGGAGTCTTCATTCTCTGTTTTTGTAATTATTACAGTATTGCAGGAATCCTGATGGAGATGTAAATGGTGTTTGGTGCTTCACAACAGACCCAGAAAAAAAATGGGAGTACTGTGAAATCCCACGCTGCTGTAATTATCTTTAAAGACTCTTCTGTCCTCCCTTTCTACAACTTGTTATGATGATTACAAAATGTTTCCAGTCCCACCATAAAAAACTGCAGTAGGCGGTAGCTTTAGCTTTGAATTTAGGTCTGTATGGAAGTTGGGTGCAATCATGCACCTGTACAGTTAGCCAAAGTTTAGATAACCTGGCTCTAAGAACCATCAGTAAGATTTCATAGATAATAATCTGTGTGCATTTTACCATCAGTGAAGCTAAGCGCTCAGAGTTGCTAGCTGAATTTGAAATATCTAATGGAGCTGTGAAGAGACATATTCCTTCCCTGGGCTCCTTAAACACAGGAGAGGATTTCCTTGATGTTCATGCTAGCCTTTCCATGTACTTTGTGGCAGGACTGATGCCATCAAATCATGCTCATACACTTTTCCTGTTAGTTGGGAGCACAGAGATGATATCCTTTGAAACCCCTTTCATTCTCTACTGACTTATTTTTATTCTGATTTGGATATTAAAATAATCTGTTCCTAGATATTTTGCCTTTCTTTTGGGGTAGGGATTGAACTTGGTCCTGGATACACAGGTTTTCTTAATTTTATTTTTTTAATTATTATTTAGGGACATTAACCAGTACACTGAGCAGGTGTAGTGTTTGCTGAAAAATTAAGCACTGAAAGAGACTTCACCTTTTGTGGTCTCCTGGCAGTGGGCATCAATAACAGCTGTAATGCTGTTTGGCACACCTGGCAGTCATCTCATTTGCTTTGCTCTTCCCTTCCTTGCCTGCATTTTGACATAATTATATTTTATATATATCTGGCAGGGATATGGAAAGTCAATTCTTCATCTCATGTATTAGTATTACTACAGCAACATCTAGAGGCCAGGCACCTGCTCTGTTGGACAATGTGGCAATACAAAAGAATGAAGAGTGGTCACTGTCTCAGAAGTATGTGACATTCTTCATGCTGGCCATCTAATATATTCCTCTATGCAGCAGTGCGTTGTGATTGTACACTTTAATTTTGTTAACAAGACCTAAGAGCTGCATTGACAAAAAGAATAAGGAATGGCATACAAACAACACATACCACAGTAAAAACCTGCTCCCTGGCACTGCTGTAGTGGAGCTTCACTTTGAGATCTGATTTCTTTTCAAAAGAGCCTTCGAATGCTAGATTTTTTTAATTAAGATGTAAGGGAACCTTATAGTCTCTTACCTTTGATTACTTTATTAATTGTCTTGTGCTGGAACTAAAAAATGTACACTCGTAGCACCATATGGAGCTCTGAAAGGAATTACTCAAGTCCTTACCAAGCACCCAAGCTCAATCCATTTTTAAAAAGTTCAGAGTGATTTAGATTAACAAGAAAGTAGGGTGAGGACAAAATTAGACTATTTTATGACAAGGAGGCAGTGACTCAATTTTATTTGTAATCCAGGGATTAGTTTGAACTCAACAAGGGTGTACGCTGCAATGTTCTAAAAATTTAGAAATTATTACTATTGTCTGGGCAATAAACTCTTACACTTTCTTTAGCTCTTCAGCTTCCCTCTAGATTTTCTTTTGGGTTTGGGACTGATTGTATTTTTATTTATGCTATCTAACTGTGTCCAAATACTTGACATAGTTAGAAATTTTTTCTAGGTAAATTAGTATTTTCTCATGCCAAATGTGATATATTAGCCCCAGGTTTAAATGCTCACTTAATGATAATATAATGGAGTCTAAAGATACTGATTGCTTCTTTACCCTTGTTTTCTGTTAGCCAGCGTAAAGAGTGAAAGCCTAAGGAAGATAAAAAAATATCTTATGCCTTTCCCTTTTCATCTGATTGCACTGTGGATGGCATTACAGAACTGCTTTAAAATTCTCCATTGTATCTTCTTTTATTTTGTAGCTTCTTCTGAGAATGAATGTGGAAAAGTCCTAGTGAGGAGTGAGCGAGGCTGTGAGCAATACAGCATGTGCAACGCACCTCCAGGGTCTTGGCCTTGGCACGTCAGTCTCAGGACAAGGTACTGGTGTTCCAGACTGTATCACCATGCATGGGCACCAGGGTTTCACAAAGAATAGGCATTAAAAAGAGACTAACAGAAAACCATGCATATGCTTCTGGAGACTGGCCTTGGTTTCTGTACAAAATGCCTTATCATATAAAACAAACTCTTTTTGGTTTTTTTTAATCATAATGTTCTCATATAGCTACTTATTGGGTCATTAATCCCAAAGTCATCACTTTCTCCTGAATCTTGACCTGCAGATGTTAAGTAAACCCTTTTTTACCAAAATGGGGAAGGAATAATTCCCACTGAGGACAGTGACAGTCAACTGTATTTTGCAGTGGGGGATTTAAGCCCAGGCATATAGCCACCAGACTGCAATGTTTATGAACGGATTTTTATCATCCCTTTTCACCCAGCATCCAGTCTGGTTCAAATGTAAATTGTGCTGTAATCACCCTAGTTGTGTTAGAAGCCATAGGAAGACCATCATTTCTCAATATAAAAGACAATTATGCATAGCATTTCCACAGTCAAAATCAGAATGGCTGACGATGAAGATGTGAAGAAGTGCTTACAGAAAGGCTAATGAAAATTTCTATAGAGTTGTTGACAGTCACCACAATAAATATTATCTCAAAAAAATTACAAGCCCACAGTAAGGTTTGTTTAAAGAACTAATCCAAAGCAAACCTACAAATTGGAAGATGTATCCATTTATGAATTGATCATCAGCACAAACCCGTGTGAAATTGTTAGGAAATATGATTTTTTTTGTTAAGTTCCTGAAAGCAAGTGTGCCCTGTTGCAAAAATTTCACCTGTGTGTCAAATTTCTTCTTATGTTTGTCCTTCTGAAGAAAATAAAGCTTGTTCTTTGAAAAGCTGTGCTTGATATCTCTTGCCATTGGCAAAAGACACACTATGTCTGGTAAAAGGTTTGAATAAGGAGCATATTGCTAATTTACTAACATTTCCCATTCTGCACAGCACAGATGGTGGAGAATTGTCTTAACGAATGTCACTGTCTTCTCTATTCTAGTACCGCTGAACATCATTGTGCTGGCAGTCTGATACATCCACAGTGGGTCCTTACTGCAGCTCGCTGCTTGCAAGAGTGAGTATCTGCTAGAATGAGTGACAGGCATTTCCTAAATCTGTATGAGAAAAATCAACAGAGGAGCAAGATGTACTCAATAAGGCACTTCCTTTACTCCTTATTTTCTGGCTTTCAGGCCAGACACTCAATTTTTATCTTCTGCTCCTGCCCCAGTCAAACAGTAGCAGAGCACAACAGAGGTTACTTCTGTTGCCTGCCCCTCTCCCCACTCCAAAGCACGCAAAAAAAGGTGCTAGTGATGTGTTGGTGTTAATTGCACTTGGTAAAACTGTGGTTTTGGGAGTTGTGAACACTACAAGAAGGTGCCACTTTATTTGCAGCTCATGGAATTTTTCACCATCATAAAAATCAGACTGTTAAAAGTGCCACATTTTCCTTTTCCCCAAGAATCAGTGAGGGCATCTATGTTCAGAAGCAGCAGACTGACCAGCTTGTTAATTGCAGTTCTCCAGGGAAGTCACGAGTTACATGAGTGACATTCCTGATAACATGTATGGATGTATAACCTTGCCACTGTTGTTTCTTCCAGGTCAACAGAGACTTCTTCCTACAGGGTTTTTCTTGGAATACAGAGTCTCAACATAGCAGAGCCATCCCTGCAAATCCAAAGTGTTCAGAAAGTGTTAAAGGAACCAAGTGGAGCAGACATTGCTTTGATAAAGTTGAGCAGGTACCATTTCAGTCCAAGTTTTCCACCCCTAACACCTTTATTCTGTAGTCACAAGTTAGCTTAACCTGGGGTTAGCTCTCAGGGATGATTGTGGGTGGTATGAGAGTATAAGAATCCCTTTGAGTGTTAGCATTGGCATCTGTTCAAGGGTGAACTCTGAACATCTCTCCTGCTGAACAACCCCTTTGGCAGAACCCGTGCAAACTCCTTACACAGTTTAGGGAAGGCAAGGACCACTTATTACGGGAGGGATTGTCATGAGGAATTCCTACGTCAGAGGCCTGTGAGACAGAGCCAATGTCCACTCTGTGATTGTTGCAATCCCATTTTAATCATAGAATAGTTAGGGTTGGAGAGATCATCTAGTTCCAACCCCTCTGCCATGGGCAGCGACACCACACACTAAACCATGTCACCCAAGGCTCTGTCCGACCTGGCCTTGAACACTGCCAGGGATGGAGCATTCACAGCTACCTTGGGGTGGCAACCCATTCCAGTGCCTCACCACCCTCATTGTGAAGAACTTCTTCCTTGTATCTAACCTAAACTTGCCCTCTTTAAGTTTGAACCTGTTACCCCTTGTCTTATCACTACAGTCCCTAATGAAGAGTCCCTCTCCAGCATCCTTGTAGGCCCCCTTCGGATACTGGAAGGCTGCTATGAGGTCTCCACGCAGCCTTCTCCAGGCTGAACAGCCCCAACTTTTTCAGCCTATCTTCATAAGGCAGGTGCTCCAGCCTTTTATCCTCGTGGCCTCCTCTGGACCTGCTCCAACAGCCTCATGTCCTTCTTATGTTAAGGACACCAGAACCACACAGTACTGCAAATGAGGTCTCACAAGAGAGAGTAGAGTCAAACGCTTTGCACAAGCCCTAGTAGATGACATCAACTGCTCTGCCCCTGTCCACCAGTTCTGTGGACCCATCATAGAAGGCTAATGAATTGGTCAGGCAGGATTTGTCCTTAGTGAAGCCATGTTGGCTGTCACCAACCACCTCATTGTTTTTCATGTGCCTTAGCATACTTTCCATGAGAATCTACTCCAAGATTTTATCAGGTTCTAGAGTTAGTAATGTGTGAGATATTGTGTGTCATCTACAGTTTTAGCACCCATGTAATCAGAGGAGAAAGGAATTTTCTGCAGCTTCATCTTTGTCTGCTTATTTACTCATCCATCCATCCTTCTCTCCTCCCATGAAGTCCCTGAAAATGTCCATGGTCTCTGAGGAAAGGACGATCTGAGATAAGTCAGGCTCACACCACCTACAAGGATTATTAAGGGCTGGGCTTGGACTTGTGCATGTTCCTGTATGCACCTCAGGGGTAACCACAGATCAGCTCTTTAGTACTACACACTGCAAACACACTCACACTGTGACTGTGCCAACAGAAACATCCCAGAGACTTTCAGTTGCTGTTAACTAACCTCTTTTTTTCACTTAGTGACTAATCTTGCAACCATCTATACAGTTGTAGGGCACCATCAGCTTCTCCACCCTTCCCCACAGAATTTCTGTGCAGACCCTTCTGCGTACGAAAAGTGAACCAGCTGATGGTCATTTTAAGAAGGATCTATTAATTATTCTTTGTTTTCCAGTCCTGTAGCAATTACTGACCGTGTTAAACCAGTTTGTTTGCCTGAAACCAATCTGATGGTAGGAAGAAACGCAGTATGTTTTCTAACTGCCTGGGGGAAAACAAGAGGTAAAGCATATTTGGTGCGGTTGATAACTTAGGCTTTTCAAATCCTACCCAAAAAGATGTGGTTTATTTCTTTTGTTTTATTATTTTTGTTTTATTTCTTGCTCCTCATTGGTCACATCAACTGAATTCATCAAACAGGAGAAAGAGAAATGAGAATTACCACCTTTTATCCCTGTCTATTTTGGTCTTTCTTCAGCTTACGTACACACTATATTTGCACAAATAAGCGTAATACTCAAATAATGCCCTTGCCTTTAATTTTGATCTTCAGATACACATTTTTTTAACATTTGAATGAAGTTTGCACTTGCCTTCCTGTAATCTAAACATTATTGCCTGCATAGACTTCTGCAGGGACCCACATTTGTTTCAGACTGATAGAATATATGGGCAAGAATCTGCCCTCATTCAGTCCCAGCTTCCATGTACACGCTCTTGGCCTTGCTGAGCTACATGCAAGGGATGCCTTTCCCATCCAGTTTGCCAGACAGCATCTTATTAATACTCCATCTATAAAATTAAGCCAATGGATTCTTCTTTGTGTATGTGTCCATGGAATTAAAAGAAAGAAATAAAAATTAACAGAACATGTCCCTGTCGCTGAGTTTCACCATACAAAGCTTATGCATAGATTGCAGTACCTTTGTCCCTGTAAAAAGCCTGTAATATGTGTTATTTGGCTATAAAACTGATGCTATGAAAATGGTGCTTAAGAATAATCACTCTATTGTAAGTGTAACTCATCAGCATTTTCAAGAAACACTTTTGTCCAGCATAATCAGTGTTAACTGGCTTTCTTCTCACCTATTTTCCCTTTCTTACCTTGCATTTTCTCCCTTTTTGTTCAGCTTGCCACACGATGGCAGCTGCTTCCTATGTTCTAGTGATCACAGCCACAAAAAATGGTACAGGCTAGATTTCTTCTGGAAGTGCATTAGGATGGAAAAATCAACAGATGATTGTTGCATTTAGGTAGTGGGAAAGAGGGTCCTGCCATGTCATACAATTAGTTCATGAGATCTGCAGGGAAAGGAGAACGGAGACAGAGACCCACATCTAAATAAATTTTGTTTTGGGAAAATTCAACCTTGGCTTCAGGAAAATCCTCTTTGTCTGGAAAACACTTTAGGCTTGAAAGAATTCAAATTAAGTAAACCTAGGTTAACATTTTTCACCCTGGAACAAGCTGCTGCTATTGCACCATAGTGAAAGCCTATAAACAGGCACAATGGCTCAGAATACTAAGAATTTGTTTTTATTTATTTTTAACACTTCACAAAGACCACTGACAACTGCTTGTTGAGGGTAGGTATGATGCAAGTACAAAAAAGATTTAATGAGGTCCCTCAAGGAGCTCAGAGACTACTGTAGAGATGGGGATGGATCCCAGTCCTTTCGTTATTGAGGCTTAACCAGATCAAAATGCCCAGGCTACCATTTATAACTGTTATATTTTCTTGGTTGTTCATAAAGGTACCGATGCGGACAACAGATTAAAAGACGTTGAATTCCCTGTGCTTGAAAATAGAATATGTAATCTCCCTGAATTCCTGAATGGAAGTGTCAGGAATCATGAATTTTGTGGTGGGTTTACCTTTGGCAGCATAGAAAACTGTGAGGTAAGAATAATCTAGATTTGAGTGTAAGCAGATTAAATGACAATTTGTAGTTTCAAGGCTCAGAAATAGCTTCAGTAACTCAAGGTTTCTGCCTGAAGCATAAAAATTGGGGCATACGTACTGTGTTTTCTTCACTCACACAGTGAACCAGAATAGCAGGAAAATTGTGTAGGGTAGTTTTGCCTTCCTTTCAGAACTGCATGCTGGCATATCCTCCTCATAGTAGCCTAGTGTTGTGAATGCCCCACCTCACCTGAAATAAAGCCTGTAATATACTACCTGGACTTCCTTTTATTACTAGAGACAGAGGGGAAACTAGTGGCTGATTCCAGCACAGCCTGGAGTTGTACCACATCTTCATTCAATCCCTTGATTAAGTAAAGCTTAAAGTGCTTCCAGTTTCCTCATTTTCAGTAGTAGATGAAAAGACTTTAAAATGTGGTTTTCTTAATGGAGGCCATCATGATGGGAGCCTTTCAATAAAAAGCTGGTAGCTGCTTGGTGACAGAGTCAGAAAGGAAACGCTGGTCTATCTGAGCATGTGTTTAAGACTGTGCAAATGATATTTTTGACAGTGTATTTATTGGTAGGCTCACAAATCATTGGACTCTGACACCTGGATTTTAAGGAACAGCACTAAAACAATTAAACTCATTTTGACCAGGATGAAGTAGGTCAGAGGATGTGGAAAATTAAGAAACTTCCTTTTTGTGTGTGTAATTGGCTTCACAGTGAGCTGGGGATGTTCCCACATCCATGATGAGATCTTCAGAGGGCGGATCTTCAGAGCAGGGGAGTGGCCTGGATGCTTAGAAGCAACTTTGAGGTTTTTCAATTGTTTTAGTCCAGCAGGTCTAATAAAACACTCTCCCTCTCTCTACATCTGTTGCCTCAGCCATATTTTGATGCCTTCAGAGTTACCACAATATTGTTCTTACCCAAGATTTTGCTCTTTGCGTGTCTACTGTCTCCACTAGAGAACTCACCTTATTCTCTCTTCTCCTCCCTAGGCTGAAGCTGGAGGACCTTTGGTCTGCCAAGATAAGGACAGATTTGTCCAGTATGGAGTCACCTCTTGGGGACTGGATTGTACCCAGCCATCAAAGCCTGTTTTTGTTCAAATTCCTCGTTTCATTTCTTGGATTAAGAGTGCAATGGTTGCCCACTGAATCTACATGCAGGCTAGCTTTTCTGGAAAGCAGTCCATGTGTCAGAAACAGCATTCCAAGTATGGTTTTAAAATCGTAATAATTCATAAGAATCTTAAATAAATATAATTACTGGCTGAACTGGCTGAAGCAGTTATTGCAAAGAAATAGCCAAGTTGGCCAATTATTACTCTCTATCAGTGTGTCTGTGTTGCATCTGGGTAAGTCAACCATGTTGCATGTGGCAGCAGCTGTAAGGCTCCTACTTCACCCCTCTCTTTAAGACATACTCCAACTCCTAGAAGTGGTTTCTTCTTTGTTGAGAAACCTGCTTTTCTCCTCTATAAATGCAAGCAGCTGGCCTATCTCTGTGTACAAGGTCTTTCCTGTGCAAGAAACTTTACCCTAAATCACGCCTGTCCCTCTACCCGTCACTGGCATCTGCTCCCCTTTCTGTTGCTGCTCCAGGCACTGCCTAATGGCAGTTTCAGGTATTTGTTACTGTCTTTTACTAGTAGATGCTGAACTGTGCCTCCTGTGGGTCTGCCAACCTAGGAGATACCATTGCCTGTAGAGGTTTTGTACAATCTGCCTGTAGCTCACAGGTCGCAGTAGCACAAATGTGTGCAGCTGCATACTCCTCATGGAACCCGGCAACCCCACACGTTTGTCACCAAAATGCTGCTGCTGTTTCATGTAAACCAAAGGCTGTTTTTCTTGATTTCAAGGCCTAAAAAAGGCTATTCTTGCTGGACTCTCTAGTAAGTGTACCTCACAATACTATTTGGTTAGACTTGGCATAACCATCAGTGTAGCTCTCTCTGGACATTAATAAATATGACAATTTGCATTGCACTGTCCATCACAATTGGAAATTGGGTTTCTTTCCCAGAAATCCATGTGATTCATTAGCAGTCCATCCTCTTGCTACAGGATGTTTTCAGAGGCTGAAGACTCTCTTTTGCCTTCTCTTTAAAATATTCTCTGAATCTTCTTTGACTTGGGTCTGCAGTTATCTGAGCCTTTTTTGGGTGTCGTTATGTGATTTGGGGTTTTTTTTTATTTAGCTTTTATGAGAATACAATCTGGAAATCCTGCATTATTTTCTCCAGCTGATAAATGACTACCATTTCAGTTGTTTTCTTGCAGCATAGGAATTCTTGATTTACTATTAGTCATCTGTTCTGGTTTTGGCACATAGTGATGCACTACTTCTGGCAAGGCTTCTTGCATTTTCTGGCCTTTTGATGTGTCTAAATAGTAAATCTATTTTTATATTTATAAGGCAACTCGTAACTACTAGGACTGTGTCAATACATTGTCATAGGAGTTAGGAACTTGGACTCTGATTCTGACAATAAGACTTTGTCATCAGATGGCACCCTGCATCCTTGGCACACAAGTACCATCCTCTGTTTCATCTGTGCTTCTTGGGACTGCTTCAGTGCACTGTATATTCTTACTCTGTCACAGCTGCAAAAGGACCGCTTGATTTCTTTGTTTTCCTGTACCTTGAGCCTGTAGAAAGCTGCAGCACTTCAAACCTTTCAGAGTGCTAGAAGTGCTTTTTCTTCAAGACGTTATCTTGTACAAGATGTTACAAGACTAATGGGCAGTTTGTAACTAGGGAAGGTGTTGCAGACGTTGACAAAAAAGGTTGGAAAAGAAGTTACGAAGTTGCTCACAGCATTTTCTGTTTAAGTGTCCCCCCCACTTCCATCCACCTTCCACCTCGTTGTTTGTGATGAATCACTTTCTTTGGTAAAAATAGAACATGGTATGCTAGTCTTTTGGACACATAGCATATGTAAATGGAATATCTTTCAGGAATTTACTTTAAGTTAACATAGAATAAGAGAAACAATAAAGCTGATCAGCAAATTTTCCATGATTTCTAATGAAAAACGTCCTAGCTCAGGAGTTTACATGAAAGTCAGAGGAAAAAACAAACCCAAATTCCAACAACTTTTCCAGTGCTTCCTCCAGCAAATGTAAGGTGTGGACTACAATAGCAAGGTCTTTTGCACAAAAATTCTTAAAAGAATAAAGGATTTTTAGACAACATCTATTAAAGTGGAACTGTCATGAATGCTTTTATAAGTGGCTTGTAAACAAAGAAGATATTATTGTATGTTATACTCACACACATAAGCACACACTCACACAATGCACGCGCACACGTAATCTGCCAAAAAATTAAACTAATCTGAAGGTGATATTCTCACATTACTGATATATCATTGAAAATCTCACTGACTCAAGTGGTTTGAACTGATTATGCTCCACACAGCCTTGAATGGAATATAACAACATCTTTTGCTGCCTTTCCCTTTTAGCATTTCACTCCAGTAAGATTGAACTGGTTAGAATATCCTTCGTTCATGCAAGTTAGTGAGCTAAGAACAAATATGGAAATAAACCTGCATGTAAATTACAAGTAGAAACTGCAGTGGTAATTTCAATATACACATTGCATGGAAAATGGAGGTCATTTGTGCCTCTTTCCTGAAACTGTCAGGAGCAAGGAGCTATAAACATTCAACTTATTCCAGTGGCATTTTTAGACAACTGATTTCATCGCTAGCTAGAACCATCAGTAAGCAATACACTGCTGCAGGCTTCACTGTATATAAAACTGTGTAAGCATGTAGAAAAATACCAGAATGGCACCTTACAAACAGCAGGCATTTTATGGGGCCTTTGGAGGCACTTGGGCAATTGTTGGGTAAAATGCAATATCACTCCACACATTATCTCTGCTTTTCTAACCAGAAGTGGAATCGTGTTTATGCTTTTCTTCACTTTCTCTTCTACATTCTGCTGCCAAATAACCTCACCTTCATCCTAGGACTTCCCAGTAACTCCAAATATTTTGAGCAGAGGGTTAAGCTGCACCATTACATGTGAGAGGAAGGACTGATAAGATTTCAACAACCCTTCCTCCCAATGGGCTCCAGAACAGCAGTCACAGCTGAGTCTTGTGATCTGGAGCAGTGGAGACAGGAACTACTTGCTTGCTAAACCCAAAAAGGTGTAGCCATGACCTGCCAGGCACCAGCCGTTTAAGGAGCCTGAGTACAGATATTCAGTTCCTTATGCACTCTTCCAGAAAGAAAATAAAATTAAAGAGAAAAATGTACATACAGGTTGAATTCCAGGCTCTATCATATGCTACTTCTCTGTTTCTGATGTGCAGCCCTACATGTAAAGAGTGACCAGCACCTGCAGGCAGGGTGGTGACTGAAGTGCGCTGGGAGAATAACAAAATCAAGAAAGGACAAGGTTGTGTGCAGAACGTGCTCCCACTAACAGAAATGTGGCATAGGCTACAGCAGATCACCA